AACCTCTATCTCTCATAAGATCAAAGAGATCACGAATATGAAAGTGCCTATAAACCATAAAGAATGAGTGTAAGATGAAACGGTCCTGTTATTGATATCGATTGCTGGCCACTCTTAATTTAGGACTTGTTCCCAGCTGGGGCTCCACAATCCAGTTGATCTCCGGACACAAAGGGTGTGACTTTAATGGAGAGATTTGGACAGTTGAAAGGTGGTGCGAGGTATAGTTCACTGCTTGCCCTAATGACCAGAATTCTGCATTATATTTCCTGGGAAGGTGACTCATGCACTGGTCTCCTTATTAAATCCCTCCCAGTTATGAAACACAGGGAGGGGCATTTAGCTCCATGTGGGTAAGGGGCGCAGGTAGGGGGGGAATGCATTGGAAGTTTTTCCACTTTTAATCTCTCCAAGCCTCAGCTTCCTCATTCATAGGACATAAATAACAATTCCTATGTGAGAGGGGCACAGAGAGAATTAAATAAGAGAAACAACTGGCCCCAATTAGGGACGTCATAAAACATTATGATATTACTATCCTTATCCCTCCAGATGGATTCCTAAGAGAAAACCCGTAATACCTGGGGGCCCCCAAAGTGTCTCAAGCGTCTGAGTAGAACTCCCCACCCATGTCCTCCTGATCTGGGCTTCTCAGTTTACGAGCTCTGTCGCCCTGGGATCTTGTGTGCGTTCAACAGTGTTATGGCTTAGCCTGGGAAGGAATTTTTGTCCCATTTCCAGATGAGGAAACTGAGGACCAGAGGGTGAAGAGGCTAGTCCAAAGTCATCCAGCCATTCTATGGCAGAGCCAGGACCTGAAATCAGTCCCCGCCCCCCACCACCGACAGCCCTTCTGCCCCTTCCTCCTTGGTCGTTCTCTCCCTTGCTCCCTTTTCCATCCATCCTTTTCCCTCTTCCTCACTTAGCTGGTCACAGTCGGAAACCAGGACTTTTTGTGCTATTACTTAAACTTTACAAAGCTGGCAGATGGTGGGCTGCCTTCTTTTCAGGGGTTTCTCCTCTGTGGGGTGATGGGGTCAGTGAATTTCCACCCCGGCCAGGCTGTGGAGTGAAAGGGGTCCATTGAATGCTTACCTGTGCTCTGCTCCTGCTGCTGCAGGGACTGAAGCGGACCCCCACCCGCATCCCCGGGAGCTCTGGGCAGGCAGACCCCAGGTGTGAGTGAGCCGGAGCGCGTGCGCTGATGTGGAAAGGGGCTCTGCCTGTCTGAGCCTGTCTCTAGAGTTCACTGCCCTAGGGGGAGAGAGGAGGGTGTCAGTGCCAACTACGGGCTGCTCCTGCCCTGGGTAACCCTTGAGGACGGTCAGGGCAGCATTCCAGGTTGCTCCGCCCACTCCCAGAGAGCCAGGTCCAGCCTCCCCGCCAAGCTGCTCTAGTTCCCTCTTCGTTCTCTTGGGGTCTTGGGGGTCTGTGTGGTGGGTGAGTGGGGAGGCATCTACAGAAAGCGCAGTCCAGCTGGTGGCTTGGCCGAGAGTGCCAGCAGATCTGGCTAGAGCCCCTGCTAGAAACAGGCTACCCTTCTTTGGAGCTCTGACAGTGACTCAGCCTGGGTCATGGGGAATCAGTGATGGGTAAGGAGGAGTGAAGCAGGAAATCTCTGCTCAGATGTCTCAGCCCCTTGGGGCTCTTCCCAGACTCTCGTGGGCTTCTGGCCTTGCCTGGGTACAGAGGCAGGGACTTGTACAAATGAGGGTCTTTGGGCCCTGGGGTCTTAGATCAATAAACATTTCTGGGCAATTTATGTGAGCCAGGGCTCACATTTCTGGGCTGGTCTCAGGGACAATGGAGATACAGAGTCTGCTCTCAAGGCAGCCACAGTCCAAAGGGAGGGACGTGCCATGGACCAGAGGCAACAACAGAGGTTTTTGCCAGGTTGTTTGTCTGGACAGTGTGGTGAGCAACTTCATGAGGAGAAGCCAGAAAGTTCTGATCAGGTTTTCAAATGAAGCCCTGGGGTTAGGGTTGGGGTAAAGGGGTGTCAAGAGGACAGGAACCGCCGTGTGCAACAGCCTGTAGATCACATGTGTCGCTCTATCACTCTGGAAGGTGGGTTGAGTGTGGTGGGGAAGGAGGATGCCTGCCCAGGGGAGGGTGGCATTGTCTCAAACCAGTGGGGAAGACGGCGCTTAAGGCTCCAGGGCTGAGAGCGGCTGGGGCTGGGATGTGACAAGGCTTAGAGTAGGGAATTCAGCCTCCTCCTAAGGCAGTTCCACTGGACTCACAGCCATTGGAGGTGGAACTTGGAGAGAGGGGAGGCCCTGAGAGGAAAGAGAGTGCCCGGCTCAGGTCAAGGGCTCTCCCTGGCCTTGGAGGTTAGGAAGTGTGGCTGTCTGCATTCCCCCAGTATTCCCTGACGCCACTCCCAGCCCCTCCAGGCCTCCCCGGGCTCCTCAGCAAACTTGGGGCAGGGCTGCAGCCTGGGCCTCCTGCCCAGGAGAGCACAGGGCTAGGGGCCAGGCAAGAGTTGGGGGCCAGTCCCACTCAGGACTGTTCTGGAAGCAAGAGTTTGTGAGTGGGGAGAGAGGGATCCAAACGTCACTTACAGGTTCCTCCTCACTGCTGGGACTTTCTGCTGCCATCTTAGGAGGCGTTTTTTTGAGGATGGGCATCTTGGTGACTCCTGATTGGGGAAGCAGAGGTGTGGACCTGGGCACCAAGAAGCAGAGAGGTATCAATACAAGAGCCACCTAGACCGAACCCTTCACTTCCCATAGCCTGGCACCCTGCCCCTGCCCTGTGAGGAGGCCAGAGCTGGGCAGTAGTGTTCACAGCCCTCCTTGTGGGCCTGGTCCCAAACTCCTGACCTCCAGACCAGTCCACACACTGACCACGGTGTCCTCTCTGACTCCAAATAGGAGAGGGTGGGGCCTGAAATGAGTCTCCAGTTGGCACCTGCTCCACAAAACTGCTGTCGTTCAGCCTCAGATGACCACCCCAGAGCAGCGTGGGAGAGCGCAGGGCTGGGCTTGCTCGTTCCAAATCCATGAGGGGTCACTGGCAGAGCACTTGCATTGTTCCTGCCTGGGACCCGATAGATATGTGCTTTGCAGATTAAAATCTCTCTTTCCCACTAGACTGTGAGCTTCTCCAGGGCAAGACTACACCTGCCGTGTTCAATGCTTCACCTCTGGGCCGTAGCCCTGTGCCTGGCATGGAGTAAAATCAGTGTTGGGTAGCTGAGTACAAGGAATGTATGCGCACATGAATGAATACAAGGTCCTCTAAGGCTCTGGGCTCCAGGAGACACTCGAGGCTTATGGGAGACTGGCCCGTGGCCAAGGCAGGGAGGACCCTGCTGGATGGGCTGTGACTTAGGCAGTCTCTGGTTGGCTGGCTGCCAGTGTAGGTGGCATGAGGATGCTGAGGGAGATGGTACAGGGAAGTTAGGCAGCCCAGGCCCCTAGGGGCCCCCTGAATAGGCCTGTAAGGAGGTGGATTAATTCTGAAGGTACAGTAGAAGTGAGCCAGGCCAAGAGGGGCAAAAGCCAGTTTTTAAGGCTACTGGGGCCCAACCTCTACCCTCAGGGCCCAACCTCTATCCCTAAGCATAAGGCTGCATAAGCATAAGCACCCACCCATGGTTTCCACTCATCCATCCCCTATTCTCCCCCAAGAGCCTAAAGCTAAGACTTAGCCCATTCTACCCCCAGGCAGACACAGTGGGAGAGGGGGGTTGGGTGCAAGGCACAGCTGACCCTAAGACACAGCATCCAGAAAGATAGATAACCCCGGTCCAGGGGTGGAGGAGCCTGGGGTTGCCTGGTAGCACTGGGCAGAGAATGTAGAGTTCCTTGCGGGCACTGTGCCACAGCACTTGGGACTAGGTGGTCCCCAGACCGGCCAGCGCCCTGTAGCATAGGGGCTGCCACTACCCACTGCAAAGCAGAAGCAACGGCATCCAGATGAGAGTCGACCCCAGCACCACAGGAGTTTTGAGGGGGCGAGTAGGGCAAGGGCAAGGTGGTAAGGGCCCTATAGACAATGCAGCCAATGCCTCCTCTTGCTCTGGCCCCCAGCCAGCCCATAGCGGGAAGATACTAGTCAAGCCTCAGAGACCCCATGTCTCGGAGAGGCACAGGAGGTTGAAGCAGGATGGTTTCATGGGTGCCAGATGGGAGGGCCTTGCTCCTGTCGGCCAGCTGCTCTTCCTCACTGGCCCTTGGGCTGGCGCCTAAAGGGTGTACTTGTGTCAGTATCTTTCTATGTCAGTTTGGTGCCCTCCGCTCCACACTCCCACCAGCCTGGCTTCTGAAGCCTGCCTGGAGGGGGCTCTGCTTTGCCCTGGAAGCCGAAGCCCAGCTCAGCCCGGGCACCACAGGCTGCCCGCGTGCTCCAGGGGCTCCCTGCTACCGGGCTTATACTTGCCACTTGCGCCCACGCCTGCACCCCACCTCCCATCTCCGCGAGAGAGTCGGAGAGAGGCAGGTGCATGCCAGCACTTCAGGGGGTTGGAGTGAGACCTGCAGACCCTCCAACTGGGCACGGAAAGTGCAGACCTTGGCACTTAGCAGATGGGGGTTCAGAAGTGTGGACACACACGTGAAGCCGCGAAGCTGACAGTCAAGCCTGTCCAAGCCCTTTCCCCCAACTTCGCACCATCCAGCTCCCCGTCCCCTGCCCCCACCCTCGGTGGAGAAACACCAGAGCCACAGAATCCCGCACTCTCCTGGCCGTCCCCCGACGGCCGCTGCCCTTCGGGACTCGGAGGACTCCGTGGGTTCTGGGGCCTCCCGGCCCCGGCGCGGTCCCTGGACGGAGCCTCCCTCCGCTCCCGCCTCCCCGCGCTGTGCTCCGCCAGTCCAGCCCTACTCACCTGCTCTCCTCGTCTCTGCTGCCTCGGCCGCCGCTGCACCGCACCCAGCAGAACTAGGGGCTAGAATGTGAGCCGGAAGGGATTCGGGGTCGCGTCAGCAGTGCGGGGGTGGGGGCCACCGCCTCAGTCGGTGGCAGAGCCTCCGACGTCGCCGGGTCCCCAGGCCTCACGACTGGCTGCGAGCGAGCCGGCCGCGCCAGTCGCCTCCCCTCTTTCCTCCTGTTCCTCCTCCCTCCCCTTTCTCCCTCTTCCTCCCTCCCCCCAGCCCCCCCCCTACCTCTCACACTCTCCATCCTTTGTCCCCCCCCCCCCCCCCCCCCCCTGCTTATAATATCATTTCTGTTTTACCTTCACCCTCCACTGCATCCACACAGGTCTTCTTGTTGTCCTCAAAAATTAAAGTCACACTCTCAACTCAAAGCCTTTATTCTTGCCCGGCCCCCATCCCGTGCTCTGACGGCTTCCCGGACGATCTCTAGCAAAGGCAGCGGAATCCAGGCCCGCGATGGGGGGGTGCAGAACGTGGCCCCGCCCGTGCCCATCGCCCTCAGCTCAGCCTTCCCCAGTCCCTGCGCTCCCCTAACCCCTTTATCCTAGCCGTGGCTGCCTCTGCAGAACCCTGGGGAGGGTTGGGTCTGGATAAATCTGTGCCCTCCCCACTGTCTAGGGCAGGCTCAAACCTTATTACAACTCCTTTTACAATATAATAATAATAATAATAAATAAAAACAACCTGTTTGTCGATCACTGCAGGTCCTTTTCTATTCCCACTCATCCCGGCTGGCGCTATGGGGAATATGCAGGATACAGACCTGGGGATGCTTAGAGACACGCAGCCAGAGGCAGACATTCCTCCCAGACAATGCATTCCCCCCCCACCCCATATAGATCCTTACACACGAACGCACACAGACAGACTCACAAAGAGACACCCTGCTCAGACAGACACACACACAGCCGGACACACAGAGTCAGAACAGACGTGCACACACCAGCAGTACAGACCCCCACAGACGTTGTCTAATACACAGGCGTACCCCAACACGGTGACCTCTCCATGCCGGAATCCGAGGACTCTGCAGCCTTCAGGAGGCCGCAGGTTGCAGGACTGGGAGTGGTGCACACACGCTGGTCTGGGACTCTGGGGACCCCCACTCAAGGTGGGGAGACTCCTCTGGCAGCCCTGGGCACTTGCTTGCACTCAGGACCGGGTAGGGTGGGGCTGGTATCAGCTCTCACACTATCATTCTCTCCAGCCCTGACTCAAGCCCGCATAGCTGGGACACAGCGGACACATCGACAACTGTTCCTCCACTCCTCGTAGGATAAAGTCCAGCGGTCCAACGGACACACACACATCACACACACGCGTCTCGAGAAATCAAGCCCTTAAGGATGCGGCCGTTTTTTTTCAGCTGCCCATAACAGTTCCACCCCTATTCCCTTTCGGAGATTGGACGGGACAGGTTGCCAGGCTCGAAGGGAAGGGAAGCTTGGGCGCCTAAGAGCTCTGTTTTAGACTCAGGGTGTGTCCTCAAGGGGCGGGACCAGCGCACCCGGAGGGAGAGGGTCCTCAGGCTCCCCCGGGCGGCGCCCTGGGGCGCTGCGCTAGGCCTGGTTGAGGGAGGGGCCGTCGCGGGCTGAGGCCAGCCTAGGCACCAGGGTGTTTGTGGGAGGGAGCCCTTGTTGAGTTTGCTTCTTTCGTATCTTCTTTTCCAGGTAGCAAAAGAGCAACAGGCTTCCTGCATGCCCACTGGACTGAGACCCGGATTTGGGTTAGACCCAACTCACCCTCCCATTCTGCCCTGGCCCCTTGCCCGGCTGCCCACCCCATCAGTAAAGAGACTCGGTCTCGTACAGATATAGTTTATTGATTCGGCCCGGAGGCACCGCGGCGCAGCGGGCCAAGTTGGCACTGGGAGGAATGGAAGGAAGGACAAACAGAGGCACGGCTCTACATCGGGGAGCCCCGAGGTGGCGACCCGCGCGCCTCTTCGTCTTTGCCAGGAGCACATCAGTTCACGTGCCTCGGTGCTCCACGCCCCATTGGAGGAAAGGGAGGAGGACACAGAAAGGGTCATAGAGAGGGGACTCGGGCAGGGGAAATCAAGACAGAGGAGGGGCTGGGGTACTCGCTGGAGGAGGCGGGACCTGAGCCTGAGCTGGCCAGTGTGCTCACAGAGCAGCCACCTTGACCCGGGGGTGGGAGTGTGGTGGGGAGCGGGCGGGTGGCCTGGAGGAGAAGCGGGGCTGCTAGCTGCGGGTGTAGTAGTCGTAGTCGTCCTCACATGCGTCAAAGGGGCCTGGCGGGCTGCGAGGCGCGCCTTCCCGGTCGGACAGAGGGCGCTCCCGCAGGCGCACAGCATCGTACAGGCCCTGCGGTGGCTCATCCAGCAGCACATCGCGCTCGGAGCGGGAGCGCTTCAGGCGGCCCACGTTGCGCAGCAGCAGCAGGACGGGCGCATACAGCAGGTTGGCCAGGCCCATAACAAGGCTAAGCTGCTCAAAGCCAAGCGAGTGCACGATGTGGCCCGCCACTATGGGCCCGAGCGCATAGGCCACGCAATAGGATATATCGGCAATGGCGTAGACGCTGCCATAGACCGAGACGTGGCGCACGTCCACAAGAAAGGCGAGCGTGGGCAGCAGCGCCGTGTCCACCAGCGCAATGCCGAAGCAGAGGCCGCAGAGCGAGACCACTAGTGGTGCGAAGGAGCGGCAGGCGGGCACCAAGCACGAGCTGGCGCCTATCACTGCCAGCCCGAAGGCGCCATACAGCCACTGCAGGTGGGGGTAGCGCGCTGCCAGTCGCACTGTGAGGTACACGCCTAGCACGTGCGGCACGAAGGCCGGCAGCCAGGCTATGCCTGCGTCCCACTCGGACGCCGCCATCGTGTGCTCCATCCACGTGGCGATGGTAGGCTCGAGAAAGGCGAGGGGGATGTTGCAGGTGGTGAGCGCGCCTGCCACCACGGCGATGTAGGGGTCCAGCATGAGGCGGTGGATAGGCGTGCCCACTGGCAGGTTGGCCCGCGCCCGCGCCGCGGCGGAGAAGGGCTTGGCCACGACCAGCAGCAACAGGGCGTCGAGCAGCGAAACCATGGCGAGCACCAGAAAGGGCGCGGTCTTGCCCACGAACTTGTGGAGGAACCCCCCGAAGGGCGGCGCCACTAGGCTTCCGAAGCTGATGAAGGCCAACGCCAAGCCCAGGGCACGACTGCGCTCCGGCTCCTCAGGATACTTGTCGGCGATCATGGCAATGCCAGCGTAGTCTTCCGCGAAGGCAAACATCACTGTAGAGGCGAACAGTACGCCCAGGCCCATAAGCAGCGGCAAGTCATAGCTCATGCGGTCGATGAAGGTCCCGCTCAAGGGGTTCACCAGCAGCTGCAGGATGGCCTTGGAGGCAAACAGCACCCCGATCTTCACGTCCTCGTTGTCGGTGGGGTATTGGGGCTGCGCGGTAGACCTGGCCGGCATCGCGGCCGTCGAGGACTCCGAGGTGTTGACCGTGTCGGCACTGGCATTGGCCGGAGTGGGCGGCGGCAGGGTGGTCACACACACTTTGGAAGTCAGGGTGGGCTTCTCGCTGGCCGAGTGCACGTAGTAGGGCACGATGGGCACGATGACCATGTACAGCATGTTGTCCAGGAAGAGCGCCACGCACACGATGACCAGCACCAGGCGCCGCTGCCGCCGGGGATCTTGCAGCGCCGCGCCCACCGCCTCCGACAGCTTGCTGGCTGCCGCCGG